TGGCCAGCCTGGGTGAGGGGCTGATGGCTGTTTGCAGGCTGGCCACAACCCCCAGCCACCCAAGCTCCCAGTGGAGGCTGGCTGGAAGCAGGTATCTGGGATTTATTTAGCTTCTATAATTGAAACTTTGTTGCCATGAGCAGAGGCCGCAGATCCTCCATCGCCTGGGCAATCAAGCCTCCTGCTTGCTCCAGCTCTGTGGCTGCCAGCCGCCATCTTGGTTGGGTTAATTTGCATATGGTCGCTCTGATTGGCTGGTGGGCGTGGCTTAGGGTATAGCGAAGGTACGGCCAATTAGCATTTTTGTCTCTTATTAGTGTAGGTCAGTGATGGTGAACCTTTTGAGCTCCGCGTGTCAGCTTTTTGAAAAACCCTAACTTAACTCTGGTGCCGTGTCACGTATAGAAATTTTTTGATATTTGCAACCATAGTAAAGCAAAGATGTATATTTTTGATATTTATTTTATATATTTAAATGCCATTTAACAAAGAAAAATCAACCAACAAAATGAGTTCGAGTGTCACCTCTGACACGCGCGTCATAGTTTTGCCATCACTGGTGTAGATGGTAGGCTCCCTGTAACCAAAGAGGTGTCCCGGAGAGACAAGTCGCCCAGGATGCTGACCAGACCCCGATGCACCTGACCATCCCAGGTCTCTTCCCTCAAGGGCCACAGAGTCCAGACCTGATGCCACAGGAAGGGGACACCAGCAGCCTCCCAGGCTCCCCTGTCCCTGGAGTCACACACAACCAAGGCACCAGGTGGCAACTCCAGGTACCCAAATCCTCCAAGCCAGCTTCTCTGGGAACCAAGAAAGCATTCCTGCTCACCAGCCGGGAGGTATACACTGGTATTTGTGGGCACCACCCCAGGTGTCAGGCACTCAAGGCCAGCATCTCTTAGTCCTCACAACACCCTACTGCACCAGACGACATGTCCCACTCTATGAACAAAGTGAACGAGGCTCAGTCACTCACTCGGGGTCACATAGCTGGTGCAGTGTAGAGACAGGGACTAAGGAGAGAGGGCCCCTCGGAGTTTGCCCCCAAGGGCTTTTGTGCCGCTGAGGGAAGGTCAGGGGCACACAGGTTTTCCCTCCACACGCAACAAAGCCACAAGCAACTTCCCTGAGACATCTATGTTGGGACATCACTGAGTTTCTTCCGCATAAACCTAACCGGTGGCCAAGGCCTGTACACCTCGTGCTGCCAGGGCCCGACAACAGCGCAAGGCTTACCACTACAGAGTCGTTGTGTGTCAGGTCGACAACCACGGGCTCCAAAGACTCACAGGTGAGGTCCACTATTTCATCTCCAGCTTCAAAACAAAGCATTTTAACAAACATTAGGAGGAAAGGAAAAGCATACACTCTCGCTTCGTTCATGACAACAGAGCTCGGGCTTCTAGCAACCCCCCGAAGTACAGCAGGCAAAGAGTGTGAGGACCAGCCCTCTGCAGGGCTGACAGCCAAGGAACGCCCTTCTAGCACTTGGCTGAGTGGCAGCAGAGGGCTTCTACCAGCACCCCACCGGGGATGGGATGTCTGTGCTCACGCACCTCGTCCCCGTGGCCTCACACTGCCACCCGGCAAGACCTCTGTGCCCTCACCTGCTCCCTCACAGGGGAGAGGCAGTGACTGACAGGTAGGGACCAGGCATAGGCGGCTCAGGGCCTTTCTCTTTGGGATGCATGAGTCTGAAACCTCTGACCAGGAAATCAACCCTGCTCCCCTTCAGTGCTGGAGCTGACACTCTAACCACTGAGCAAACCGGCCAGGACCATCAGTAATGTTTTAATGGGCCCTGGAACTTCAACAGCCAAATGGGTCAGGTCTGGCCTGCAGCTTGCCTTTGAGCCCCGGGGCCCACTGCAGTGTCCACATGAACACACGGCAACACGGGAAAGAGCGGGTGCCCAGCGTCTCCTGGCACGTAAGTCCGCATGAAGGGCAGAGCACACTCTAGTCCTATACGCTGAAAGACATACCCGTTTTCCTCTGTTATTAACTTTAGAAAGTATGAGGGTAGAATTTTTAAAAACAGCATTTGTTTAAATTTGGGGGAAGTGACTTGTAACATATTTAGCATGTTCAAATTGTTTTATTTTCTTGTGTTAAAAGTTTCAGAGGAATAAAAATCACACTGTATCAGAGATGTCCAATGTAATTTATACAAAATGACCTTGTTCTTTTTGAAATAGTCCACGTACTAACACACCATAATTCATAGAGCCATTCCTTCTCTTGCCAGTGGACCCAATTTTGGACTCTTACAAATAAGGCGACCCTCCCAGGGCAGCTAGTGCTCAGCCCTGCACAGGGGTGCGACCACCTGCTCCCAGCCGCCCGGGAGACCCAAGGAGCAGCCCCTGCACCAGCCTCCCCTAACGGAGGGCAGGGTGCAGATCCCAGGGCGCCAGATTTGGGGCAGTGGACTGGGTGGACCAGGGCCTCAGGCTCCAGGCTCTTTGGGATTCACGGTTCTGAGTGACCTACTGCTCTGGAGGGCCCACAAAATGTATCTAAGACCAGCAGCTTCTCTTTAGAGTCAGTTTTCAGGCCTCTATGATAATAAAAGCGTAATATGCTCATTAGACCAGACGTCCTTCCGGATGAAGCTGGGGCTGTGAGGGCCGAGGCAGAGGCGGCCGCCACGGCGGGCTGTAGTCACAGTTACAACAACAGCCTTAGACTTGCAGAGTGCAGGGTCATGGTTTGCCACCTGCACTTCCCTGGGCAGGCAGCCTGACCACACGTCTGCCTTCTTGGACAATTTCCTGTCTTAATGAAAAAGAGGAGAGGAAAGCAGAGTTATTCACTAGGCCACGCACACTGGAGACAGGATTTTAAATAGTGAAGGTGGGCCCTAACCGGTTTGGCTCAGGGGGTTGAGCATCAGCCTGGGCCTGCGGACTGAAGGGTCCCAGGTTCGATTCCGGTCAAGGGCATGTACCTTGGTTGCAGGCACATCCCCAGTAGGGGGTGTGCAGGAGGCAGCTGATCGATGTTTCTATCCCTCTCCCTTCCTATCTATAAAAAAAAGCAAATAAATAAATAAATAAATAAATAAATAGTGAAGGTGGTTCACTCCCTGAAGGTTGACTGGCAGCCCAGCCAAGCTAGTGGCCATTGGTGACCCGTGGAGGTCCTAGGGCACCCAAGGGCAGCTCGACTCCCTTCAGCAGCAAGTTGTAAGGCAGGTGAGTCTGAGACTGTGTGGTCCTAGAGCGACACCGCACCAAGCCCACCTGTACAGCATGGTCACCTGATTGGCTCATTCCAGCCACATGACAACCTTGTGCAGCAGGTGCGCCATTCCCATTTCAGCGGAGGAAAGGGAGGCCCCGTGGCAGGGAGGTGGCAGTGCTGGCACCGACTGGCTGTGGCGGGGCGGCCACCCACACCCACGCGTGCAGCACCTGCCAACACCCCATGGTCAGTGTCCCGGGAGCTTACCGCTTTCTACGAGCTCTATGGGTTCTGTCTCCAAGGCCATCACCGGGGTGGGGGCTGCTTCCCGAGCTCGCTTCTGGGCTTGTCTGGAATTTGCTGCCCCTCCTCGTCGCTTCCTCTAAAGGTGAGGGGGGAGGGGCAGGGAGAGACAGTCACATGAGCTCCTGACTGATGGGATTTCAGCAAGACAAATTAAAAAAGTCAACAAAAAGGAAGAGTAGAAGGCAGGGAGGGAGCCGACCTGAGGTTGGGGTCTTTCAAAACACGAGATTCCAAACACTGAATGTTTAAATAGAAATCACTCAGAACAGAGAATGAATACAAATTCCTTAAGTAGAGCTCACTCCATCAAACCACCATCTGTCAAAATCACATGACAGCCCTGGCTGGTTTGGCTCAGTGGATAGAGCGTCAGCCTGTGGACTGAAGGGTCCCAGGTTCGATCACCAGTAGGGAGCGTGCAGGAGACAGCCGATCCATCATCCTCTCTCATCACTGGTGTTTCTATATCTCTCTCCCTCTCGCCCTCCCTTCCTCTCTGAAATCAATAAAAATATATTTAAAAATTAAAAACATAAAACAAAATAAAAAGCACATGACACACAACTCAACCGAATCCTCTGGTCCAGGTGGGATTGGGCCAGGAACCCTTTTTTTGTTTTCGTCTTTATTAATTTCAGAGAGGGGGAGGGAGAGAAACATCAATTGGTTGCCTCCCAAACAGGCCCCTGCTGGGGACTGAACCTACAACCTGGGTAATGTGCCCTGACCAGGAATCAAACCCATCACTGCTTGGTATACAGCAAGCATGTTAAATTCAAAGGCTAACATGGGCCAAATAAACAAGGTTTGAATTTATTTGGGCCAAAAAAAAAAAAAAAAAGGTTCAATTTTCATAGAAACGTAGGTTTATTTTGATAGACATGCTGAATTCAAAGGGCTGAAATAAATGAGTCATTGTTAACATAGACTATTTTAATAAAAATTAATGGGTTTTTTTTTAACATTATCTTACCAGACACGGAATAACTGCACAAATTAAAAAGCGTCATGCAAATAAACCTATTTTTCTTGTTCTCTGAAAGTGAAATATTTCCTGTTGCGCACACCAAACAAGTCCGTCCAAGACTAATGACATGGCCATCGCTGCTAAAATATTCGCTGCTAGTATTAGTGGAGAGAAATGGTGCGCCTGTGTAAGGCGCGTAAGGAAAATGAATGCAACACGATTATATAAGTAATCAGTCATTAGTGAACGCTGTAATTCGTTATTAATAACTAGAGACCCGTTGCACGAAAATTCGTGCAAGAGTAGGCCTTCCTTCTCTGGGCTGCCAGCACCAGCTTCCCTCCGGCACCCAAGACCAGGGCTTCCCTCCCTCTGGCTGGCCGCAGGCACCCGGGACCCCTGGCAGCTTCCCCTAGGTTGGGCCCCAGCTTTGTCAGGAAGGATGCCCGGAATGACATCAGGTCTATCCAGTCTAATAAGCATATTACCCTTTTATGTGTGTGTATGTATGTATACGTATATATTTCAGAAAGAAAGGGAGGGGGGGAGAGAGAAACATCAATGATAGGGAATCATGGATCGGCTGCCTCCTGCACGCCCCCCACTGGGGATCGAGCCCGCAACCCGGGCATGTGCCCTTGACCAGAATCGAACTCGGGACCCTGCAGTCTGCAGGCTGACGCTCTATCCACTGAGCCAAACCAGCCAGGGTACACCAGTCACTTTTAGAACGTTGTACTGCTTCTAGAAGAAACCCCGTGCCACTTTCCCCATCTAGCTGCCTGCCCCACCCAGCCATATGCACACCGCTGTTTCAGACATTTCATGGGAACGGACCATACACAATGGGCGCTTTGTGACCGGCTGCCTCACTTGGGTATATACCCCGGAGTGGCGGGTTGTAGGGCCCTATGTGACTGATATTAATCATCTGAGGAGCTGCCGCACCATTTCCATTCCGACAGCAGTGTGTGAGGGCTCGGATTTGTCCACATCCTCGCCAACACTTGCTATCATCTAACTTTTGGTTCTAGCCTCCAAGGTGACCTCGGGGTCCTGCTGAAGCATGCTCCCTCTCTCGAGCAGTGGTTCTCAACCTTCCTAATGCCGCGACCCTTTAATACAGTTCCTCATGTTGTGGTGACCCCCAACCATAAAATTATTTTCGTTGCTACTTCATAACTGTAATGTTGCTACACTTATGAATCGTAATGTAAATATCTGATATGCAGGATGTATTTTCATTGCTACATATTGAACATAATTAAAGCATAGTGATTAATCACAAAAACAATATGTAATTATATATGTGTTTTCTGATGGTCTTAGGCGACCCCTGTGAAAGGGTCGTTTGACCCCCAAAGGGGTCGCGACCCACAGGTTGAGAACCGCTGCTCTAGAGCAACAATCTATGCTTTTCAATTCAGTTTTAAAAGTGGACGTTGTTTAAAATGTCTGCACAAACATCCCTATTAGTAAGTTCTCGCTGCTCAGGATCCGCTGTGACACAGCTTGCAGGGGCTAAGTCTGTGCCAGGCCAACCTCCCCCCCTCCCCCCTGCCTGCTTCTGTCTGGTACTGGGGAGGCCCTGAGGAGGGTGTTGGGGGAACCAGCCAACCCTCCGCGGGGCTGGCCACAGGCTGCGTTGGGCTTTGGGAGCCAAGGGAGGAAGAGTGAGGTTCAGGAGCAGCTTTGGGGCTGTGCCTGTCACGGTGACTGTGCTGCTCCCCGCAGGCCAAGGTGAGCGGTGCATGAGGGCCAGCCGCTCTGAATGAAGCCCTCGGAGCCGAGGAGCTCCACTGCGCCCACCGTCCTGGCTTCTACACCTCAGAAGGCCAAGATCCGATCAGCAAAAATGAAAACTTTAAAGAGGTGACGTGGGCTCCACCTCAGAGTGGCTCAGACACGGTTCACGGTCCCACGTGGGAATGCAGACACCAGTGGGTGTGGGCAGCGGCCACGCGGGCCCAGCATGACCCTCTGGCAGGGCCTGAGTGCAGGGAGGAGCCGGACCTTCGTTGGGAAAGTCCACCGGGCTGAAGGCTCCCTCTTCAAACACTGATCGCTGGTCACGGTCTGGCCCCAACTCCCATTCACGGGTCAAAGGGCGCCAGGCAAGGCCTCTTCCTGGCTGTCCCCACGGACCCGTTGGCTCTCCTGAGTCTGTGGGGGCAAATTGTGGGGCTCCTCGCTGTGCAGCGCAGCCACAGCTACAGCCATGAGGCCAGGCTCTGGGCTCGGAGCTGGGGTCCCCAGTGCCGCAGCCCCAATCTGCAGCCCCCTGGACCATAGCCCCCCTGATCCGCAGCCCCCTGTTCAGTGACTCTGGGCTCATTGTGAATGTGTCATTGTTCCAGGCCTGAAGGTGTGCTGGCTGCTAGGGGGCTGGCGGTGCTGGGAGCCTGCGACTGCTCAGATCCCTGCTGTTCGGTCGTGACATTACGGAGTCTGGGCTAATTTGCATGTTTCTCTATATTTTATACGTATATAGAAGATTATGTATAAGAGGACATTGTAAAAATTATTAAAATGTTTCTTACATACCGTTATATTGGTTGGGCTGCAAAAATATTTGCTGTGGGCCGCATGCAGCCTGCAGGCCTGGAGTTTGACATACTTGGTCTACAGGAGGATGCTCACGCTTCACACCTCGACTGGGTCACTGCCCAGGGCCAGGAAGCCCTTCTTTAACCAAGTGACAGACCCACCTTCTTTGCGTTTCTATTGGCCTCATTGAGCCCTTTTTGTTTTTAGCCCCAAGACCTTCCGTTCCCCCAGGTTCTATCCACTGTGGAAAGCAGGTCTTCCTTTCGGAAATCTGGCCTCTAACCATCAGGTGTGGTTTTCCCCGCCACCCTCAACTCAAAGAAAGGGAGTTTTCTAAGCCTGTCCCCAGGGTTGCCTGAGAGCCACGACTCCAGACTCTGCCCGGCCTTCCTTCCACGCCCGTTGAGTCCCCCGGCACTTCCACCTGGCCAGCCTGAAAGGCAAGTGGACCACGCACCCCCTGCAGCCTTCCTCAAATGCG